AAGAAGAGAGAGAGAGAGAGAGAGAGAGAGAGAGAGAGTAGCATTTGCTAATCCCTAAAATTAAACAAATGTGAGAATGTTTGAAATGTGGAAAATTTTATTCGTAATATGTTATATACATAATACACAACAAATATTGCAACAAATAAGGAATTGTTACATATCGAAAATTTTCAAAACAATAAATATGCGAATTGAAGAAAAGCTTATCATATTGATTATCATATCCTAAAAGATTTGGCTAATTTCACTTTTTAGTGAGCATTCATTTACTATTTGTTGTTATGGATAATCGATGTTTTCACTATTATGAAATATGATATTATATGAAATAATTAGCTGATCGTGATGAAATGAGTCTTATCAGACGGATGCATTTTAAGAAATAATTTTATAGCGTGACATTTCATTTACGGAGGCAATCAATAATGGTAAAATATTTCAATCGTTTCAGTGGAGTCTGGGTTGTCATAAAACGATGTGCATTTTGCTAAAAACATTAGAAATTTATTAAAACTTCAAATATTTTATCAGCAAATCTGCCGACATTTATAAAATTAGGAAGTGAAAATAGATGGATTCAAAAGGAAAAAGAAAACATACAAAGTTTCCAAAACGAAGATGAAAATTTTGAACATAACAAGTTAATAAAACGTTAATTTTTAATAGGAAACTTTGGTTATCGGTTTGATCAGACCGATAATTAACGTTCTCAGAATTTTAAAGCTTCTGATAACATATTATTTTCCTTGCTGGCTTAACTCGATATTTGTATAACTCCAGTATCAGACTTATTATATAGTTCTTGTCATGGCACACGGAATAAAGTGAAAAAAATAACCACTGGGCATCTATTTAATTGTAGAATAGATTAACTTTTTACACGGCGCTATTGATTAACGGATATGTTTTCGGTGGTTGTCGACGATTCCGCTCATGTAAAAATACCATTACCGTACAAAACACTGAAGAAAGGAATGCTGCTAAAAAAGTGGCGCAGGACGAAAGCGCCAAATAGAACGAATAGCCGCACCTTTGCTGTAATTTAATCAAATGTTATATAAATTTACATAACTAAATGATTACCATACATATATCGTATAGCCAATTTCCCAACCATGAAGTACTGGCGCACTTATGTAAAGTGTAGTAATTTTTTTGTGAACTAAAAATTTTTTTGTAAAAATAAATTTTACTGACAAACCTCGTATGTTCGAGTAATACCTTGTACAAATCGAATTTCAACTTTGTGTGAATTAATAAAAAATGTGACTACTGCGACACTCGACAAGATTGCTGAAATATGGATACAGTGAAGTAAGAATAAAATGGATTAAAATTTTGGAAAAGATGTAGTGGAATGTTAACACGAACATAAAAAATCACCAGAGCTGTCAAGTCATTCAGTAACGATTCAGGAATGTCTCATGAAGGTAATGCTACTGTCAAGCCTAATACGGCATTCAATTTAACTAACCTACATGTTAGATTGTTTGAAAAGTTGAAAAGAAAGGTCTAAATTTCAATCATTAAATATGGAATGATACATTCCATAAGTTGCATAGCTTGTAATTTTCGACATTATACAATATGATGTCCACATAACACTTCATAGATAACTTACTTGCAGTTAATGATAACGTACATGAAACGAGCGCTGCAATACGAAAGTATAATGCGCACATTAGAAAGCAACACAAAGTGAGAGCTGCCAACATCGCCAGAAGTAATAAACATATAACGGCTTTATGCCAATCTGCAATTTATTTTGTAAGAAAAAAAATAATAAAAGAATGCTGGAAAATGTTTAATTCAAATTTTAGTATCTTAAGATCGTGACAATTATAATTACAGGGAAGTGTCTGGAAGCAATTAATTAATTTACTTTTTTCTCTTCTCTTTTAGAGAACATATGAGTTCCCGTAATATTTAATGATTATATTTTTCAAATGAATCATATCAATTTATTATTTTAGGAGATGTTGCTCTTCCTTTCGTATAATAGTTCTTTATCCTTATCTTCTCTGATTTTGGTTTTTTTTTACTTTTTTAAATCTAATAGTCGATCTGCTTTCATATGCCAAGTTCTTTATTATAATCATAGGGTCTAACTTGTTGTAGTAAATTTCGATCGCTGCAACTTTATTGTTGTAATAAACTCTAATGTTCAGTGAAATGCTACACTTTTTTTTATCAAACAATAACACATCATATGATACTTTAACTCACTTCGAAAATACCACTCCGATCCATCGGCTATACTAATTTCAAAATTTTTACGTCTTAATACAATACAATGCATCGATGAACTCATTTCTATCTATGCCTTTTGAGCAAATCACTAGTTTGGAACTAATTAAAACTAACTGAAGCGAATTAAAACAAGTCCAATATTTCAATGCCATCAATTCTAAATGCTTACTGTGAAACTTGTGTTGCTCTTCATTATCTTCATCATTTTGTAAACCATTTTTCTGAGCACTTTCAAATTTGTATGTACAGTGAAGACTCCTTTCAGACGTACCTATAAATTAAATTTTCAAAGTAACTGTCTCCCTTTAATTTATAACCATGATAGATAGGTATGAAAATAGAAATGAACAGAGCTGGTCATAAAGTTTTTCCTCATCCCATCCTTCTATACTGTCACAAATAGTCTGTTCATCTAATCTCTAGACACTAATCTTACTTAATATCAGTTACTGGGAAAATTCTGGATAAGCGAATCAATCATGTTAGTAATAACAGCAGACAAATGCGCTAACCTTGTACATGCTTCTTCCCTAAGATACAGTCCATCCAGAGGCCGTGCTGATGTTCGGTATGAAATTCCGTGATGGTCACTATCTGCCATTGTGGTGTTAGCAGGGCGATTGCAGAAGTTAATACAGACATTACGGTGAACAAATAAGATAATATAAGTGCAAAAACGCGGCATAGTACAATAATGTTCATAACTTTGACTCTTTTAGGTTACTGTATCACTCATATCTACCATTCCTTCGCATAAATCCTATGAATGATACTATCATGAATAAGCTCATTATTTCAAGACACAAGCAATTCCTGCGCTATCCCAGATCATTATAGGAAGACAATTCAAGAAAACCGTTTTGTATAATCCGTTGGCCTATTTCACTGATTGAGTAGTTGGTGGTTGACATCCATTTGAATTCACTAATCGAAACATAGAAACGTTTCCCTGGTTTGCTTGGAATTTCCGAATCATTCCCAAGGAGCATGAAAAGGTTCCTAGACCAAGTTCCATGAAAAGCACTTCTTTTGCAACTTCCCAAAATGAAAAGTTCGACAAGCATCTTTGGAAAAAATATTCCAAAAATACAAAGATATATTCTGGTTTTAAAACAAGATATAATAATTAATTTCTAACAAAACTCTTTACTTCTAATCGTCAACAAAACGACTAAAACTTTTATCATTCAACCATAATTGATGCAGATATTGTTGTAATACAAAAGCATTGATATAAATTAAATGTTGCTACAATCTTTAAATTTCATTTTCCCGGTGATAAATCTCCGCTGAACCTTTTTTCCTCACTCAAGTTCACCTAACTAATTCTGGGTTCATGTCCATCACTTAACCAATAACACAAGCTCCCTGATTACTTACCCTTAACTTCACTGAAAGTAAATCTATGTGCTAAGAGTGTCCATATATATATCTTTACAAAGATTAAAGTAGAGGGACAACAATTATTTTTAAATTGGGAAAATTCAAGAAAGGAGAAAGAGTTAAATCTAACTGTTTTAATAATTTTAATATATGATTGAAGTGGACAATGGAGCATTTTGCATCATAATTACTCATCTGTTGAAAATCAGCTTAATTTGTCATAGTAGAAAATGAAATTAGAAAAAAAAGAAAAAAAAACGATGACTACATATGACAAAATGATTGAGGAACAAAACACTGGGGAAGAAATTGAAAGGAAACTAAATCGAGCTTCTTCCTGGAGATGGTTGCGGCAAAAGACAACGAGAGATCAGAGGTTCGGGAAGTTCCGAGAAGCTGATTGCTATATTCTTTTCAAGACGCACTTTAACGGCAAGCTGTTCAACTGCTTCTGTATTAACAGAGTAAAGCAAAACGCCTAAGCATGCTCACAAGGCCTCGTCCCAATCCTCTCCCGAATTCTCAATTCAGCAACACTCGACTAATATATACACATCCTCCCTTCTCTTCACGCCAGTTTATCAATTGTTATTCCAACAAAATAAGCAAACGTGTAGCGATGTAAGCTGTCCTAATTGTTTTAAATTGCAACACACATACATATACATACATACACATACACACATACACACATACACACACACACATACATGCACAAAACATACACAGACAAAAACTCACACGCATATGGCGTTCACGCACGAGCCTATCCAATCCCCTGATTCTCATTTTCAGCTTTACTAAGATTCATAATCCATTTTAAAACTATTTATTGTTATAAAAAACTAAACACGCGAGTGCTCACCTGTTGTACATCTTCGAAGTACTTTTCAGTGTCTCACTACATCCCTGGAAAATTAAGATAAGGGTAATGTAAAAGAAATAATCGGACGCTTCTCTGCTATCTTATGCATGCAGTTATATTTTTATAAATAAAAGCAGAATATTACTTAGTTTTGGAACTGTCAAAATTTAGCTTCAGGGAATCACCATTGAGACCTTCACTAATCCATGTGATGCTTCAAAAAATAAGACCAGTACCATGAATTATCATCAATAAAACAGAAAGCATAGATGAATCAAGCCTACTCGATAATACTATCAGATCCATAGAATTATCATGGTTAAATAAATATAGTGTAGTACCTATTAGTTCTCTTCATTGAGGAACACTGTTATCAAGAGTTGACAGTGACTAACAAAAGACCTCACTCTGCTCAAGCTACTAACAATGACGATAATGAAAACACGCTTTTAGTCCTAAATTAGTAGATGGTCCAATTTTACATCAATAAATCTGATAAAATTATGCTAACAAAAGCACCTGTAAGTACTGGATGACGATTAAAGGGATAAGATCACTAAGACTGCTTACAAGGAAATTTACACAGTTCAAGATTCAACAACTTGGGTGCATTCTTTGTGACTTTATTATACAATTCTGTGTTTAAGAAATATGACAGCACTAACCATTTAGGCCAAAACAATTCCATGATTTCAACTTGACAAAATATTTGGCCAAATTGAGAATATACAAATGATAAATATTGTAGTAGCTTTAAAACTTGACTGTTAGCGAGACAAACTACATCACCGAGATAAACAAATCACCACTCTTGACAATTACAACGTCTAAATATTGACAAATCTAATTAGGTAAAATATGAATTAATTAGCTTAATTTAAAAGGAACAGAAATAGAGAGAAAACCTGAATCCACAAAAAGAAAAACTGATTGAATACAAGTTTCGGAGCTTCCCGCTCTTTCGATATATCTACATAAATCATCATCACAGTAAATAAAAGCTTTAGAAATTACGAAAAGCTTACAAGCAATTATAACTATTAATAAAGTGGAAAATGAAAAATCAGAGAGGAGACCGCATCAAATCATTTGATTAAGAATGACATGGAAATAGTAGAAATAATCAACTTCATATTTACAAAACTACTTTTCAGAATGTTTAGGACTGTCTAGTCATTTGCTGTCATCGTCTTTCATAGTGCCACAAACGTACTACGAAATAACAATAACATGACATAATTACATTGTAACGTGCATAAACCATTAACGTTGAAAAGCATTATCGGTAGTCATTTGTTGCAAATAAGAAAATCAAAAAACAAACAAAGAATTATTTTCATTACGAAAGAGTTTACAAACGATTAGAACTGACTCGTTCGACATAAGTGTTATGAGATGATTGAAAAGTTTATGAAAATCGCACACGATAGTAAACTATGTTAAAGATTTACATCACCGGGCTGTTATTATGAGGACAAACAAGAAAAATAAAAATGGAAAGAGGAAGCGCCTTCGTGAAGTTCACGATGCATAAAATCAGGTCTCAACTCATCGCTTTATCGTTTGCAGTTGAAACGGTAAGTCGTTTCGCCCTTTCCTCCGCAAAATCTCCAATTTCACTCCAAATTAACTCCTTCCATTGTTCAATGGTTAAATCGCCTACAAAGCAAACGATATGATTTCATCCAAATTAAGACCTCGTTCCTCCTATTCAAAGCAAAAAAAAATCCATTCTTATCTCCATGCTCAGAACAATATTGGAACTGGATCAGGTGAGTGGATGGACTAAATATGAAACTAAAAAGTGCTTCCAGAGCTTCTAGAAAATAATTCTTCCCAAACAGAGCTCGAAAATGCATTGATTTCCAGTTTAAACATTAAACAGTCTACGATGCCACTTGTAAAATACCCAGCAAAAAAGAAAAAAAAAAACTACTTTGATCTGTAAGAAAAAATGAACCATCGGAGTCGATATCGAATGGTGGCGATATGGGTTCATCAGATGGATCGTGATACTGCTTTAGATAGGGATGTTCCATTGCCTCACTAGCAGTCGGTCTATTAATAGCTCTTTTTATTGAGTAATTTAGTTTGAAAATCACAATAATGGAAAGATGACGAATGCAAGTTCGATAAAGATATGAATGCAAATTCGATCTCTTAAACAATGGAACTTTTTTGTTCTTTAAGGAAACGAACTACTGTTTCTTACACTGGTTAGAAGAGATAAAAATTATATTATGAATGGTAACTTACCGATAATCAGGATCGAGATTTAGAGTTCTTTCCAGCAAATCAATAGCATCAGGTGATGCGCTTGGAAACAGTTTTTTGAAATCTTTTCTGGGAGTTTTCGGAAGATTACGGATGTAATTACGAGCTTCATCCGACTGTATTTTCGATAAAAATTCCTCGTTTGGGGTGCCGACCACATTCATTATGCGTGTTAATTGATCGATATCTGCATAGTCACAAAATATAATATTTGGCATATATTAATGCAAAGTGAATTATATTAACAGAACAGTTTACAACAGGATGGAAAGAAATTCCTGGACTTTAAAACAAAACTGACTATTCCTGCATGAAAGGCCACTAAAAATCGAGTACTTACGATCCGCTCCTGGAAATAAAGTTCGACCTGTAATCAATTCAGCCATAATGCATCCAACTGACCAAATATCTACTGCAACAAAAAAGATCTAACAAAAACTTATGAAAGGATAATATGAAATAATTTTCGTCCGGAAATCAAAGATTCCTGCTATTTTGCTTGTGAAAAATAAACTTTCCAAAGACAAAACCCAAATACAGTTTTCTAAAATAAATCAAAACGGTTGCATATACCCAGAAAATTACCTGTTTGCGTGTAATGCATCCAGTTAAGCATGATTTCAGGGGCACGATACCAACGCGTGGCAACATACCCCGTCATTTCACTGTCAGTTTGTCTCGCTAAACCAAAATCGAGGATCTAAAATAGTACTCAGAACTCCATCCATTCTTCAATATTTGTATTTAGTAATCCTCGTCATGAGCAAGTTCTGTAAAGTAGTGAAATGCTGTACCTTCAATTCACAGTCTTCATTGACAGCTATGTTTGATGGTTTCAAATCGCGATGAATAAGACCGGCAGAATGGATATACTGTAAAATAATAATCTACCATGTGAAAACAAAAATAGAATTTAGATTATAATCCATACCATCAACTTACTTTAAGATCCCCTTAAGAAGACAAGAAAAAGAAACCTTTAAACCACGAAGTATCTGATAAACAAGGAACTGAATATGATCGTCGCTGAGACGCTGAATCTTTAATATGCTGGATAAATCTGCTCCCATCAACATAGAAACAAAATATCTAAAAATTATAAAATATGTAAAAAAAAAAACGGCACAAAACAGTTACCAAAAATTATTTCCCAGATATTATGAGCAATTTAGCACTAGAAATGATTAAAAAATCAGTCTTCACACCTACTTTTTTTTCTGGTATTAAACTGCACAATTTTATGAGTTACTGTGGAAAACAATAACGACATTTAGTGAAGAACAACACTGTTTCAATCTTTTCATTTTAATATTTTAATACGTTAGGCTCTTCAAGATAACAAAAAGCTGTTTTTCCTTTCTATTTAGCGAGTTGAATTCGTAATGGTGGATAGATCATCCAATAAAGCAGCCACTACTAAACGAAAGTGAAATTTAAAGTACAATCCTAGAATGAAAGAAAAAACAAAAGTTACACGTCTTGTAATGAAGCAGCGTTGATGTCAGGAGTGAATACATCTAGCATGTCAATGATATTTTCATGATTCATCGACCGCAGTAGTTTCAATTCGCGATGCGTACGTTTAGCATGGATTGCACTTTGAAATGGTCGGGAAAACTTCTTTATCGCCACCTTTTCACCTGTTAAACGGCATTCTGCGGCACTAAAATTAGTATTATATTCGTATTTGAAAATTTAATAATGTTTCACGAAAATGAACACTTCAATGCGATATATTCCGATAAGGTGTCCAATTAGTACCAGCTAGCGGAGTTGTGGCAAACACAAACGACTTGTCAGCACAACCTTCAGCGAAGCCAACATTCTGTTATTCGTTGACCGACTACAGTTGATACTTTCAATAGTGAGCGTAAGAAAATTGGCGCAGAATGTAGGGATTTTACTTTCGCCATTGAAAAGCCCATCTCATGATTTGAATAGTTTGACGGTTCCCTCTAGAAATCGTAACAGGATCAGATGTCATACTACCTATCAGGAAGTGGTTGCCGAACGATCAATTCACTCAGACAATACAAAATTAATTGGATAAGGAAGGTGATCAAGAAATAACAAACTAACCATACTGTACCGTAAGCACCGGTACCAACAGGAGTGAGATTTTGATAATAGTTAGGGATGATCCACACCGTCTTATTCAGTTCTACTGCATAAAACCCAAGCTTCAGTGTTCTCGTCAGTTCCATTTGTTATCTCATTTATGAAATGTTACTTCCTTAAAATGAACCGTAAAATCCTGAACTTCAAGGATTTAGAAATGAAATTCGAGAAAGCACGAAACCCATGATATCCAGGGTAATGTAAACATAAATACCCCGCTGGGCCAATGAACCCAAACGTTGACGAGCCTTATTTCTAAAAAATTCTAGTCAAAATGTACTGGAAATCAAGACTGCTTAGAAGTCCCGAAATGATGCTCAATAGCTTCAGGAACAGATGGCCAGAACTCGATGCTCTGGGGACATTATCCTGAGTCTCCTTATCATTTTGTTTACTTACTATTACTGCCACTTATCATTTAAAATCATAGAACCACAGATTCCCGGGGAATCCCGAAATATCTTTAATAGATTTCTCCGATATCTGGAAGAGAAGCAAAGGAGATATAACACATTGACTCTATTGCCAGACACTCTTTAAATATTTCTCTTCTCTCTGCTCTCCCCAACACACACATACTATTTCTACCTCCCTTCACAAAATTGTGGAAATTGTCTCAAGGCAAAGTCGATAACGGTTGGCAAGTAGTTTCGCCGGTAGCTGTAGAATCTGGTAGATTCTGGTAGCAGGGATCTGGTTGACTTTGGTAGCAAGAGTCTGGTAGATTCTGGTAGCAAGAGTCTGTAGCAGAATCTGGTAGATTTCCAAATTCGATGGTAGTTACGGGGTGTTTTTTCCTCTTGTAGCTGAAGATGAATGTATTGAATGCTTGATCGGTATAATTGTTAAAAAATTTTCATATTTCCTTTGTGGTGCTGAAATACATTGTAGACGTGATTCTTTTATAAATATAGCTGTTGATGTGTTGAACATTATGGTGGAAATGCGAAATAACGTCCTTGAAGGATGCACGAAATGAACTTGCAGTAATAATTTTCTCATGAAGATTATGAGATAGCCTGTCGTGCAACTGTAGAAAGAAGGGAATCCTAATGGTCAGATCTGTTGCCTGAACTTCTGTAGTTGGTTAGTCAGATCTTATTAGGCCAGTAATTCCTCATCAAGCTCTTTTTTATAAATCTAGAACTGCTGACTTCAGATATGTCAAGTCCAATCAAAAACTTCAGTCCGATGCGCCGAAATTCGAAAAGTCCTGGTCGGATGTCTCAGAAAGTTGGTTTCTCCTTTCTTTCTAGTGTAATGTCGAGGTATATTAATTTATAATGATAATGATAGGTCGTATGCTTCGGGATCATTTTTGCAAACTTTTCAGCCTGCGCATACTTTATCAGATGAAGAATTACGGGCTAGTTTAATCACAGTTGGCGTAAACGTGGGACCAATAACCGCTACAACTCGTACCGTCTATGAAAAACAACTTGAGAAAAAACTCAAAGACAACAAGTCTTCAGGAGGTTTCAGTCACTCATCGGATGATCTCACAAATGTTTGTACTAATAATCTGCTATCTAGAAAGCGTCATTTTCAATAAGTGCTGTACTTCTAGTTTATTACTTTTAGGTTTGCGATAGACGGAAACTTCCGACACCACCTCGCCCGACCATGGTTCCTCGCTCTCGACCTTCTTATTCCATTTCTTCCTCTTCATACACACCAAGATCTGTGAACGACCACAATGATTTTTTGGAAAGAACTCATTTATCCTCAAACTGTATGCTTTACCAGGCTACTGTATTAACTCCGCTTAATTTTGTCGTGCGACGAAGACACAGTAAACCTAATGATCTAACATTTTGCCTCACATATAGTTGCCTTAACATTTTGAAACTCACTATACTAAATAACTGAGTGAATATGTGATTTTTCGTTATTCTATGCGTAAAATCCACGAAGCATTACTTTTTTTAGACCGGGGGGCACGACGTCGGCTGGATTTCAAGGATAGTCAAGAAGAGTTGAGTATTTCTAAAAGAAGAATGGTTAGCGATTATGATAGTGACAGCGATGATGATCATATGGAAAGTTCACGCATAGTTACTCCGAGCCCAGCTCTAATACCAGGTACACAAAAGCCATTCTCAATGCTTTCGGCATTGAACAAGTGTCTTAAGATGTGGGCATCGTTTATTCTTCCGCGCAAGTCTTTCCCGAAGGTTTGTTTCGTGTTTCAAGCTTAACTTGAATAATCTGCATGAATAGCTAACGAATTTATATAGGGGTTGAGAGAACTTCCTGCTGCAATTCTTTATTAAATCATTTTTTCATTTATACTTTAAAGCTGTTGCCCTACGGGCACATAACTATTTCGGTCTTTAAAGTAGAAATTGTTGGTGCAGCATAATTAGGAAAACTTTCCAATCTATCTTTGGTTACCATGGCTACCTTCTTTTAATTGCAGCAGCAAAGTATGATATGTACTTTAGGTCAAAAGTCTTTTATAGCCTGAACAAGATATTTCAAACACTCTAGGGTTTTTGAATTCATAAAGTTTCAGTCGGCCAAATCTTCACACTCATTTCATGAGAGATATCCATATACCTTCCGAGAAGCTGCACTACCACGTAGCACTTTATTGGGTTTTGACATATCACGAGTACTGTTATTGTCCCTTGTATATCTCTTTGGTTTTTTACTTATTGCTTATCTGGCAACTGCAAACTCGGGTGCTTTGATTCACAGCGGTCGTATCGCTTACGGTAAGTGTTTTTTCTTTTCGTAATTTTTTATCAGTTTCTTGGCGTACACTGGCAGCTTTTGCTAAGTATTATAATTGACGTTTGAATCCCAGGGCGATTAAATTAGACTAAGTGAATGAGTACCAAACGAATTTTTCAGTAATTCACATAGAATCTCATCGCTCTAATTTGACTTATTTGTTTTTGTACGGTACAAATCTAGTATGTTAAATAACTTCTAAGCATAAATCTTTCAAGAATGTCATTTCTGTCAGTTGTTGCAGTTGCTGCAAAGGACACCGCATTTTTCTTGTACACATATGCGATTCTCCCGTTACTTACGTTAGTTGTAGGTATGCTTTTGCTTTTTTTCCGTTCACTCTGGTTCTCTGCTGAATACCTTATCCATCACATTCCCAACAACTCACACTTGGGTTGTATAATGAACGAATTATCATTCTTAATTATTACAAAGTTCATCTGAATACGAGAGAGGATGTTTCCAGTTGTTGAGCAGAGTTCATCTACTGATATGTACCATGTACCATGATTCCACGGCATGGAATATGTCCATACATGGACTCTCTTTCGTCCTTCAGAAAAAGGCATCAACTTCAAACTATTTACTGTCTTCAGTCTTTTTTTCTAATTTTATCTAAATAGTTACTGAATAATGCCAGAAAATGTACTTTTCTGGTTTCTTGAAGTTTATTCATAATTTAATTGAAAATAATAAGGGTATTGTAATCCGAAATGTTATTGCAGTATGTGGAATGGTGTTTGGTATTTATATGTTACGACTCTATCAGACGAAGAAGAAAGTTGAAGATAAACAACGTATCTTTGACCTTATTGAGAAAATTACTGGTGGGTTTGTATGATAGTTAATGCATTAAGCTATCCTTGTCATTTGCGTAAAAGGTCTAATAATGCATCATTAATTGCATTTATATATTTTATAGATATTATTCGCGATGCGAACGAACAGGGTCAGATTTACGTTGCCGAACCTCATGTGCGAGATATGCTTCTTCCGCCATCTAAGAGGTATCTTTCATGTCAAATTCTTTTTCGTATGTTTTTCAACATATTTTTTGTTTGTTAAGTTTGAAGTGAAATACGCATATGGATTATTTTTATTATGATCTCTTTGTTTTATTAGAATGTACAATAGTCCGGAGTGGCGCCGATGGCAGGAAGCGGTTAAATTTATCAATTTGAATGAATCACGAGTAAGCACGGAAACTCGAATTATCAATGGTGTGGAGTGCTCTGTATGGCGATGGATCCCTGCCAAAAAAAATGGTTGGCAGGGTAGTGGTACGTACACTATAATTTAAATACTCATTAACTTATCCAGAGTAATTTGTGTCATTCGTTTGCACTGTTCCAAATTGATGAAGGGAAGGGAATGCAAAGTACTGCATTTCGTTTTGCAGTGATTTTATATTATATTTTTCTTACTTGTATCAACAGTAAAATTATTAAAGCTTGTATACTTGTGGTTTAAGAACAAAAGACGTTTTGCAAATCAAACAGTTAGCGATGTTGTTGGTCCTGCAGAACAAGGGTATAATACACTGCATTAAAAACGAAATTGCAAAAATGAGATAGTCTGTTCGGAAATGTAGTCCAAAAACATTTGCCCTGCATAGTTATTGGGGAGAAATATTATAATTTTAAACTGTTTTTGTGTTCATCAAAAGCATTCAAACAATGTATATCTTATAATAATTATATTCGTTACAGCTTTTGATGGGAGCATGCGACGCAATATGTTAGACCAGGCGCCATCGCATTGTCTGAAGCTACGCGGAATGTTTTCTTCAGCTAAGTATGTTATTTTGACTAGTTAGAGACGAGATACTAAAGATGTACCAGTCGTTTATCCTTTAGATAAGGACGCAGCACAGAGGATGACAGAATGAGTGGTGTATTTCTTTTTGGTGTAAATTATGGAAGAGGTCATTGTGCTTTTTTTTAATGCCCCATTCAGTTATGAAATCGTCTTTGCAAAGATTATTTTTTGGAAAAAATTATGGTGAAAATATTTCAGAGATTGTGAAGCAAAATATATGGATCTGAAAGAAGCTTTGCTACAGAAAATAGCCCCAATTAATCCATTACATGTTTATGTGGAGAAGGATTCTAAGGAGGGCGTGATGTTTGCTCGTTTCGCTTCATTAACCGATTGCAGTTGTGCTTTTAAATCATTACACGGAACTTGGTTCAACGGTATGAGTTCTTGTTTCAATTCTTTAATTGAATTTGCAAGTGACACAATGTAGAACACCAGTTTTTCTGCGGCAAAATTTTCTCCAGCTGTTGGAAATTTCGAACTATCTACAATCGGCAGTTGCAATTTCCTGCGTAGTGTTTTCCTGATCTGTCTTGAAATTTTCTGCTTTCCGAAACGGAATTTTCCTTCTTCCAAAGCATTTCAAATATTTTACCTGACAAATTGCTAAACAGAAACTCTTCAAATCGTTGCGGGTGATTTTGCAACTCTTCTTTATACTATTATATAATAACGAATATTTTGAGGAAGAGTTCTGCTTCATATTGCAGTAGATCTTTTTGTATGCTTTTTATTAATCCTTAGTGACTGTTACGCCTTTTAGTAAAAATGTTATCTTTAGGAAGAGCTCGAGGTGATACGACTGAGGATTTTTAGGATAGTCGTTTTACTACAAAAGTTGTTACATACTGTTCAGTATTGCTGAATAGTTTTGAAAAGCTCTAGCATAGGTTGATTTTCACTTCACTGAAATGACTTATCGAAGAGAAAAACGGAAAATGTTGTGCTAAAAATATCATTAAAAGTGTGTTTGCTGTTTTATTGGTTTTTAAATGTAGAAAATGGTTATGAACAACATATTGTGTTAATTTGTTAATGGAAACGCATCCCATGAAAAACGTTGAAGGTTTCAATTCTCAAAATAATGTTCCAAGAAGTATATGCACTCCTTTCTCATTCAAATTGAAAAATTGAGGCAGCTTATGGTGGCTTTTAACTTTGCAATTGTGAACGAGATTTACTGTTGAAAAAATGAGTTTTAAAGGGCATTAACAAATAAGATTCATAAGTATAAAAGATGAAGGGATATGTTCATCTCGTTTTTAGGCGCAGGAAGAGAACTGAAATCGTAGGAGAAAAGTAGAGGAAATGGTCTGTGGAATTGGCCAAATAGATAAGGTTCATTCCGCGATTTAATGAAACTAAGCAGTTTTAAACTAGGCAACTTTGTACTTTCTTGTGATGACATTAGGAAGCATAGTTATCGGGAACTTGTATTACTTGTTAGTTTTTCTTTCCATTTCATATTACATTCTTGAAGATCAGTAAATGAAAATTCAATTGAGTCAGATCATATTCATATTTTAGAATTCATACATGACTTTGAAAAGTTTCCAGAAATCTGATTGCTATTCGGTTGCAATGAAGAAATCTTTGCGGGTAACTGTATCCGTGATTTTTGAGGGTGACTTATCTGGTGTTTTGAATTGAAACGATCCAGAAAATAAAGGGACTTTACATATTTTCTAGCTAACTTTTAAAATTGCGTTTCAGGTCAATTGGTTTGGGCGAAGTTTCTTCGTGATGAACGCTACGAGCAGCGATTTCCTAATGCACTACGCTAATGAAGAAAAACCTGGTGCACTGTTCATGCCGTTAATGTTATATTTGTGTATTATCCATTCATCAATCCATTCCATCTGTCACTGGCGATATTTATGTTGTTACTGCCAGAAGCTTAGCGGCTGTTGCTGCTATTGCTGAGGCTTGGAGAGGGTAATCAACTCTTTTACTCTACTCATGTTTTTTCAGAGGGGGCGGGACTGCTAAAGACGGATACTTTCTCAGCCTAGGCTACTATTACTTCCAAGTCTTTAATCGTGTTTCTGTTTCACGGTCTTGGTGACCCTAGACGAGGTCTGTTTAGCCTCTCAGTTATGGATGTGGTCGCGACCGATAAGATTTCTGATACCACAAATATTGCTATTTCCAATACTTCAGCTACTGTTACTAGTGTTGATATAAATGCTCTTTCACCGTTATTCATCCCAACTGTTCCATCACCCCATGAATTGATACTTAGCAGTATCAAAGATAGCAGTAACAGTACAGTGGGAAATGGACATCAGTATGATGACGAATCACCAGAATGGTGCACAATATTGTCTGTTGATTGTGAATGCCACTTGTCGTATCAGTTTTATGCATATGAGGAAAGGCTGTTGCTTGGCCTCATCACTCTACCAATTATTGTGTTTGGCCTTTGCGCAAACATTACCTCCATCCGTATATTCACCCACCGTTTCATGTTTTCTTCATCCATTAATTGGTACCTCGCAATTCTGTCTAGTTCTGATACACTTATTCTATTTTCTGCATTTTTTGTTCTGTCGTTACCCAGACTGGGTGAATATACGAAGACATGGTCGGCTACCAGATTCAGGTTCTTGTTTGAAAATTTCATCGATCAAGTTAACATTTATTCTTTATCATCATTTATTCACAATAACACGTGTTTAATGAAGCAGCATCCACTGGATCCTTTCCGTTTGTCTTTTGTGCTGTAGGTGTAATTGATGTTTAAATGTTTAAATGATGGGATAGAAGCATGAGCTTTCTCACGAGTAATCATCCAGAATCTTTCTTATCAATAGGATCACGAATTCTGCTTAAACTAGCATTGAGCTCTCTCACAAGTAGTTATTCAGAATCTTGAAAATAGCATTCTTGCTAAATTAGCCCATGAGCTCCCTCATAAGTAGCCATCCAGAATTATTCTTGTTAATAGCATTTCGAATCCTGCTTAAATTACCGTATGAGCTTCCACATTGGTTATCATCCAGATTCGTTACGGAAATTTGTTCTACATTTTCTTGTCATATACTTTATATTTCCAGTAATGCAACAAATCCTTGAATTAGTCGGAATTCCAGAAATTGTTCAAATAAAGTTCTTTTTTTTTTTGTTCAGGTTTCCACAGGAGATGAGTCAGTTCCTATGTGCAGTTTGTGGGAGGGTGACTGATGTTAGTGGCTAAAATGTTTTAGTCGCACTAAAACTGAAACCTTTAATACACCACCATCAGTTCACTTGATATGTCTATAAAAGCTGTAATTACCAGTAGATCTTGTGTGGGTAAGGGAGTTTGAAATTTAAGGGGAGGAGTAAGAGGAAAGCACTAGTTTATTTTTTCTTGTAACCTTTTAATCACGATAAGAAATAGCAACTCTTCAGTAACAAGCAATGGTTTCAAACAGTTTTCAAAAAAAAAAAGAAAAAGCGGCAGGAATGAACTTGACATCGGTTACCAATAAAAATGAAATCGGAATGATGCATTGAAAGTTTTGCGTACCTCATATTTGATGATAAAAGTACAAACGTGGACATAATACAGATATGCCTCATGGCTCTAAGCAATATGAAATGTCTATACAGGACGTGGGTAACGTAAGTTTTGAAGTAGCAACAAGAATAGAAGGTATGTGAAAATTTGTGTAAAAAGTGTTCCTTTCTTCATAATCTACTAAAAAGGCAGGGAAAGAATTTTACGTTCATCTATAAACGCAGGAAGAAGTGAGGTTGGAAATTTCAAATGATCCGTAAACAGAAGTAATTGGTGTGAGTGGGAGGGAGCCTAGAGAGATGATAGAGGATTAATTGCTTAGCCAATGCTAAATCACTGAAATTTTTTAGCATACGATGTGATTTTGGGTTTCTTTACTTCTATGTTGTGTACATGTTTTATTATCCTTGTTTTTCTTATTTGGTTGAAAAGCTTGGTCAAAGTTTGTAAATAAATCACTTTGAAGTAGTAATCTTTATTGATTAACCTCTAATCAAGTTTTGGGGCTTCTTAATCCATCCACTATAAAAGTTACGCAGTTCGTCTAAAACTCAGTAGATGGGTATTAAGATTAAAAAGATGGGTAAAATCACATGAGAGATCATCGATGTGACAAAAATCCTTCGTGATCTTGACAAGTCACAGAAAATGTCACTATGTAGTAATGTGGCATAGGAGTTGATCTCTGATAAGCGGATTACGATGTCTATAGTATCTATAGTACGTCATTTACATTCTCATCCATTTTCTTGGCAATTCTGACATTAGAAAATTTCAATTACATGAAGGAAAGTGAAATATGGTTGTTTGTTTCTGTTACAATTGTTAAGCAGTTCTATTAATAGCGCTTTTTCAAAATTTTGAAGGGTTAAAATTTCAACACCTCTAACAGAATTCCTGAAATTGTTCTTGAAAATGACTCTGGAAGTCTCGCTGTTTTTAAGATATATAAGAATGTAAAGAAATTGACGAAAAAGTGGCGATGTTAAGTGATTGATTAATGGTGATTTAAAATAATAATGGGATTGGTGGATTTTAAACGGAGTATTCACTTGTAAAAAGTTTACCAAACTGATGGGTATTTTTCGATGAGCAGGACTCTTGCCCTTTTATTAAATTCATTGAGCCAACTGTCGTTTTTCCATTTCTCGCCAGCCGTTGGATGATGATATACTTATGCAACAATTTTTCGCATTCATCGAAACCTCAAGAGGTCAAAATCTGTCCTTCAGAATAAGTTCAGATTTACCAACTATTAAATTGCTGAACAATGATACTTACCAGTCTATGAAATGATGACTTGGAAAAAAAGATGATCATTGTACGTTTATCATTTATTACTTACTTTGGGCCTTATTACTGCTATCAAAATTGTTCATTCAAATTAACATGTCACAATCTAAAAATGTGGTTTTTCTTTTTCTCCCCTTTTTTCTTCCTTTTTTTAAAAAAAAATGTGAAAAAATATAATAAACTTTTTAATCGTTTTTCTCTCTACAATCTCTATCTTTTTCCTTCTTATTTCGTTCATTTTGCCAATCGAATTTTCATCATCAGTATGTCCCAAAATGCCAAGAAATAGGAATCCATCGGGAAAAAAAAGGGCTCAAAATTCAAAATGAAAAACT